ATGAAAACTTTCAAAGTATTTAAAGTGCTTCGTACGAGCTGGCACTTAATGGACGGAAATGAAAATAAAGATCTACATTTTACATTCTAAATCGTTTCCTTTGGAACAAGTTTCTTTTGCTCACATTTCACCACCAGCTTCTTCCGTTCGCTGGTCGTTGAGCCTTCGGTGTTGGTGGCGTCGCAGGTGTAGACGCCAGCGTGAGTGGAAGTGACGTGAAACGTGTGGTTGAGATTGTTGGGCCGCCGGTCACTACCAGGATGAGTGAAAAGCACCTTTGAAGATGGAGGATTTGACTCTGAGGTCAGTGTCAAGGTGAGCTTTGAGGGCGGGGAGCTTTCAACGCTGCAGCTGATGGTGACCAGCTGACCTTCCCTGACCTCGGTCTTCATGGATAGCGATGGACTGCTGGGAGCATCTGCAGAGAGAAAACATCGGTATGATCTTCAGAAGGATGCATTCATTGTTTAACATCATAGCAGTTACCAAAGAAGAGGTCACCTCATGACTGAAGAGAACCTGAAGAGTTTTATATTTCACGTCATCACGTCTATTTAATATAAAGGGGCACAAATATCTGAGATGTAGACGGAAACAGCTGGCTATGCTCCTTCCAAAGCAAACTAAGACAACCAACCAGCATCTCTGAAGTTCTGTCACGGTGTGGTTTTATGTCCTGTCTTATTTTGTAGTTTTCTGTTTCTTGTCTCCCTGGGTAACTTCACTTCCTGCCTTGTCCTGTCATCCCCTGTGATTGTCTAATTGTTTCCACCTGTGTCAATCACCTGCACCTCCCTAGTGTATTTAAGATGTGTGTGTCTCCTGTCACTTATCGCGTCATTGTCGAACGTTCTGGATGTGTCTAGTTCTTGCCTGCCTTTTTGCCCCGGTTCGTGTGTGTTTTTGCCCCTTTTGCTTTTGGCATTTTTGACTATTAAAGTCTTTTGTTACTCGACGTCTGCGTCCTGCCTTCCCCGCACCCCTGACAAGTTCACCATTTAACAAGGGTGATATTTTTTATGTATTTAGCATACAAACTCATTTGTGAAATTTTGCTACTTTAACAGGGGTAAATGCCTGATTATGGTCTTCCCTTGTTGCCTGGCAACAGCTCGCCATAAGAGCTGTTTTTATTGTTAAATCATAAAAGTGTTGCAATGGCTGAGCTTTAGAAGTGCTGGAAGGTGGATCAGTGCGTTAGCCACGTTATCATTCCCACGCTCAGCTAACTGCTGATCCAAGTTTTTGAACCATTTTATATTTCCATATTTATTACACAGGCATGAGAGTTTACAGATTTCATTTCCTTCAGAAAAATAACGATGACTTTCGGGCGATTGATCGAGTCCTTTTGGACGTAAACGCTAATTTTCTAATGATCACACTTGACGTAAAAATGAATAATAACAGAAACTAATCAGAGTGACATAATTACTTACAGAGCACTTCTATGCACACTGGCTCGCTTTGCTTCCCTGTATTGATGAAGTTGGTTGCTTTGCACGTGTAACAACCTTGATCTGTTCTCTCTACTGTGACCAGCGTTCGTTTGTTATCTCTGGTTGTCTCGTACTTCCACCGTGAGGAGTCAATCTCCATGGTTTCATTGTCTCGGTACCAGGAGTATCCATGCGGGGCGGGATTGGCCTCAGTTTGACAATAAAATGTCAGAGATTTACCAACTCCCACACGTTTATTACCTTCACTGATGGAAATGGTTGTCCTCCTCGGGCCATCTGAAAGAAAGAATGAAATATCATAATGCTTTCTACGGCGATGGAGGCTGTGGATTTGCTTCCTTTTCTCCTATCATCAACTCTTTGACGTCCCTGCAGCAAAAGGAGCTGTGATACTCACATTGGACTTTGACCCTAAAGGGCTCCGATGTTCCTTCACCTCGGACGTTAATGGCCGAGCATTTGTAATCGCCTGCGTCCTCAGGCTGGATGCTCTGGACGACGTACCGCTCCGTCCTCTCCTCGCTGAGGGCTTTCTCGTTCTTGATCCAGATGACGGTGTGAGGTAGCGGGTTGCTTCTCCTCACACGACATGTCAAAGTCATCGCATCTCCTTGTCTAACTGTGGCAGTAGGGGACATGGACACCTCAACCTCGGGCCGATCTGAAAAGATTGACCAATTCAATACAAGCAAAAGAGAAATCTAATTACTTGGCTTACTTGTGAATTGCACCAATTAATCAAAGAAGTCTGATCTAAGTTGCTGTCGATCACTGGTAAAGCAGACATAGATAGACTCCATTTATAAACTTACATTCCACAGTTAAGCTGATATTTCGCATCAAATATCTGTCGCTGTCATCTGTCTGGCAGGAAAACTCCTCTCCGTCATGCTGCCAGTTAACAGTAAAACTGAGCGACGTGCTCTTCTTATTTCTGCCATCATAATCCCACGTTGAGAGCGGAGTCGGAGACAGTGGCCTTAGAGGTTTGATTACTGGGTTTGAACCACATGAACCCAAAGTGGAGCAAGTGAGCGTTATGGGGTTGTTTTCCTTGTAGACGGGCGGTTGCTTAAAAGTGATCAGGCATGGATTGTCTGAAAAAAAAACATGGACAATATCAGAAGAAATGTTGTGGCAAATTTACAGAATAGCTAGTGTACATTATAATCTGTTCAGTTCAAATATCAAGATTTAATTATTTGGGGTTTTTTTTCCTTTTAAAGATGAATTATTTACGACTTGTTACTGAGGTGAATACTGACTGAATTATCAGAGCTGGTAAAGTACAGTATTTTCCGTACTCCAAGGCACACTTATGTAATCCATTTAGTCAGTTACTGTGATTCAAAAAGGACAGACTTTGGCCTTTAATTTTCTCCAAAAACGACTCGTTAATCGGTTGATCCATACTGGTTGCACACGGCGCTCAAAGCGCTCTGCCAAACATGCCAAAGCTCGTCTACGACGACGAGATGCTGAGCGGCGCTCAAGCGCGTGAGATATGGAGCTTGTTTCAGGGCGCGTCGGAGAAACAAAGCGGTCGTTCTTGCCGAGCACTTCATGAGATTAAAGAGCGAGAGACGGTGCCCTTTTCTCTACAGTAGCTGAACCATCTTAACGAGAAAAATAAGTTATTCTAAAAGGAGGCCTTGGCAGGCGGCGTGGCTGGAGAGCAGCCAAAGATTTAAGGCGTGGATGGCGAGGGGGGCGGCGGGAGCGGACGCACCTCGCAGCGTCGATCGGACCCTGAAAGCACCGTCTCCACCTCCCCACATCCACCCGCCCCGACGTCAAACGTTTGACTGCAGAATCTTATGCGCCTCAAAATCCGAAGCGCCCTATATATGAAGAATATTCTAAAATACGTCATTGAAGGTGCGCCTTATAGTGCGGAAAATACGGTACGTGAGTAGAGCTTCAGTTAAAAGCTTAGAGGGATAAATACCTTTATTGGCTTAGTTGAGAAAAGAGTCAAACAACCACTTTCAGAGTTCAAATAAAAGCTGCATTAACATTATGTTTTTTTTCTTTCATGGTGTGTGACTCTAAAGTCGGGTTAATTTGATGACCTGATTATTGACTTTTTGGACAATTTGGTTTCAGTTGAATCAGGTGCAAACAGGGGAGCTCAACCTGTCAGCTTATCAATACAAGGGTAAGATGATATGGTTACTTTACCAGCCACAATAATAAGTAACAATAAGTGTACAGCAGATGAGATGCTGCAGAGCAATCTAACACTCTCTATAGTACTATAAGAGCATTTGTCTTACAAAAAACTATAAGTCAACCTCTGAAGGAAAGTTGTTATATTTCCTGTTTTTTCCATGAAATGAGAAAATCATGACATGAGTCATGACAAAAAGACACACGATCATGAACTATTTCCAATTCTTGAAATACATTATGTTCCGGACCAGCTCATTTCTCACTATTTCTTTTCATGTCTTTTCCATGTCTTTTCTTAAAGTATATTTCAGTATTACCTTTAACATGTAGCCGCACTGCCGCGGTGTACCACTTTTCTTGCCCATCAAATCTAAAGAAATATTTTCCATTGTCGGACTTTCTCAAGTTGCAGAGTAAAATACTGCTCTTTTTTGAGATTGTAAGATAACCTCCTGAAGCTGGTAAAAGAGAACTGATTTCTTTCACTCTGTCAGCAAAGTCTGTGCTGACAGGAATGAGTGACTTATTCATGCTGTAGATGACGGTGCCAGTCAAAACTGATTTACTCCACACTATGTCCTTTATCCAAAACCAGTGAGCACCAGCAGCTTTCACTCTTTCATTGACTCTGCAGCTGATTTCAACGCAGGATCCCTCTTTAGCTGTCAGGGACGTGGTGACCAGTTTGAAGAGGGTTCTTTCACTACAAGAAACATCTGTGATGGTCAAAACACAAGTGGTAAAGTCAATTTAAGTGATTTACAATATTTAATAACAATCTCGTTAAAGTTTACATTGTTATCAAAGTGGAATAATAAATTCCTACTTTTCAATATTGCCAGAACCACCAACCACCAAACTGAGTGAGCTTTCATTGTTGCGGCACTAAAGCTTGACGTCTGAAACACAAAAACAAAACAAAGGCATTTGTGCAGATTATAACACCGTAGAACTGACTCTATTTTTAATCTGGCCTTTCTGCCCAGTATGCTTTTAGTCATTTATTAAAATCAGCTGTACTTCCTCTTTTTGTCCTCTTCATTTTAAGTGCTTTGAGTGGTTTTCCTTTCCTCCCTTATTTCAACATTCTCTTGCACTTCAGATAAATAGGCTCAACTATCACAACATACAAAAGGGGAAAAGATTTTTATATTGTCCAACATCTACTCACGTTCTAATCATTTCTAGGGAATTGTGTAAGTAGGGATGTAGCTATTCTAGATATATAAGCTCAACTATCACAATTTGCATAATGTTATTAGGTTTCCTTTGACAACTATGTCATCTATCAGCCCCAAACTTGGTTCTTAAAACTGTCAAAAGTATATATTGTGTTCTCGTCATAGACAGTTAATACTTTGATTTCAAACAAGAAGATTATTCGGAAAAGGGTTAAATCCAACCTACAATTATTTTTTTGTTCAAATAAAAAAAGCAAATTTGTAGAAATCAACTCTCTAGATTCAGTCATTGCACCAAGCTAATTATTGAAATAAATGTTCACAGAGGTAGATGTCTTTCAGTTTCATTATGCACAGATATATTTTAGATGGAAAGATACATTTAAAAAAAGCCTGTTCTTACCTAAAGTGATCCACTTATAGCACCATGTTGCACACACCCTTCTTCCAAAAGTAAGAACAAGATCATGTAAAAGGAGTTTTCACAAATCACCTAAAACTTCTTAACATTTGCATGCCTCCCCATGTGAGCTTGAGAACACAAACTTTCTACCTACAGTCTGCTGCATGCATCTTGCTCTCACTTCCTGTATTTTATGCTTTTGAAGTCATTGTCCAGGGAGGGGCTCAACTCTATTAAAGGCAACACTTCCAGTATTTGACATCTATTTGCAGAATGCCTTCACAACATTTACATTGTCATTTAGAACTCCAAGCTCATCAAAAAGAGTGAAAAAAAGGGTTTTCTGAAGTAGAGTGTGAATGGCGTCTTTCTCATGTTGCGAAAAACAAGACATTCACGATATAGTGTGTTAAAAAAAGGAATTGTCTTGTACATCAAGAAGGTTTATACAAAAGTCATGGTATAGCAAATAAAACGGTCCATGGAAAGGTAGAGTATGGCACAGTGTGTAAAGAGAAATACTGATACAATAGTTTATAAAAGAAAATAATGAAGTATTTTGAGAAAAAAAAAACTTTTTCATTTTTTTCTCTACATATACAATAATATGGCTGAGCTTGTTCATAAAAAAAAAAGGACATTCTCTGATACGTTGGCGGTTATACAAGAGCAGAATTGAAAGCATGTTATGAAATGGGACATCACACACAAACTGATTTACATATTGTCAAAAACAAGCATCAGTAAAGGAACTGCTGCGCCACATTAAAGCCATGTCATCCTGTACTGTTGACAAATGTCATAAACATATCAACATTTAAAAGTTGTTATTTTGCTCACGCCTTCTTTCTTTTACAAAGCAGAAGTTTGAACAAAAATGTATTTTTATTTGCTTATAAACATTTATAATGTAGGTGCCACATGTTTGGTTTAAGCTCAGGTTTCGTTTCAACAACTGGCTGCACCTGGAAAGTACCGTCGCAGCATCTCAGCCATCTCACACTTTGACCTCAGAGTACTGCGTCTCGTCTCCCTCGGAGCTGCTGGAGTACCAGCCGCCTCCCCCTCGTCCGGGCTTCGCCGCGAAGGTCACCTGAGAGTAGTGGACCTCCACCTCCACCTCCTCCTCGCTGGAGTCCGTGTCGTAGCTCCATGGATCTGGATCTCTGGCCAGGTGGGCGGAGCTGGCGTTCTCGTAGTCCTCCTGCCTTTCCTCGCTCTAGAGGAACAACAGAGATGGTCGCCAGATTATTTCAGTCATAGCTTATCTGGACTTTATGCAAGAAAAACATTACAATCAAATCAACACACATTTAATGCTTGTGAGAACTTGGAAATGTATTCCTTAAGTAACTGCTCTCCTCGCAGTCTCAAAGCAACTCTCTCCTTTGTCCTCATCCTTCTGGACTTTTCCACTGCATTTGACACAGTAAACCATAAGATCCTTATCTCCTCCCTTCAGGAACTTGGTGTCTCAGGCTCTGCTCTCTCCCTTCTCTCATCCTACTTTGATGGCCGGACCTACCGAGGAACCTGACGAGGATCAGTGTCGGAACCTTGTCTTCTTACTACTGGAGTTCCTCAAGGTTCCGTCCTGGGTCCCCTCGTCTTCTCGCTCTACACCAACTCTCTCGGCGCTGTCATTCGCTCTCATGGCTTCTCCTACCACAGCTATGCCGATGACACCCAGCTAATTCTCTCCTTCCCTCACTCGGACACTCAGTTGGCGGCACTGATCTCTGCCTGTCTGACTGACATCTTTCAGTGGACGTCTGCTCAACATCTAAAAATCAACCCAGACAAGACTGAACTACTTCTCTTTCCGGGAAAAGATTCTCCTTCACAGTTCTGACTGTTAACTCTGTGTTAACGCCCACTTTGACTGCGAGGAACCTCGGCATCACACTCAACAGCCGACTCTCCCTGACTCCCAACATCACTGCAACAACACGATCCTGTAGATAGGCGCTCTACAACATCAGGAGATTACGTCCCCTTCTCACTCAGAAGGCGGCGAAGGTACTGATTCAGGCTCTTGTCATCTCACGCCTGGACTATTGTAACTCCCTCCTGGCAGGTCTCCCCGCTACCGCTATTCGACCTCTGCATCTCATCCAGAATGCAGCAGCTCGACTGGTCTTTAACCCTCCTATGTTCTCCCACACTACTCCACTCCTCCGCTCTCTTCACTGGCTACCGGTGGCCGCCCGCATCCAGTTCAAAACATTGGTGCTCACGTATCATGCTGTGAATGGATCGGGTGCATATTACATCCAGAACATGGTCAAACTCTACATACCGACCCGCACTCTCCGCTCTGCATCTACCAAACTGCTCGTTTCTCCTTCAATGAGAGCAAAACATTCGACAAAATCACAACTCTTTGCTGTCCTTGCTCCGAAATTGTGGAACCAGTTCTCTGATGATATCAGGACCGCAGAGAGGCTTCACATCTTCAGCCGCAAACTAAAAACACACCTTAAATGCACTTATTGTAAATCGCTTTGAATAAAAGTGTCACTTGACATGTAATGTAATGTAATTTTGATAGTAAGAAGGAATTTATTCAATTAAAACTTTGTGGACACAGAGACACAATGCACACCACATAGTTCTTCTTTTGTGATAACACACCAAAAACATCCGGTTCCTTGGATTCTGACCTTTTTAGGTGGCTTTTGCTTGGACACTTTATCATACACATCTTCTCCCGCCTTTGCCCGTTGGTTTCTAGAAATAAAAATACCATCATGTGCATAACGTACCACATATATTTGCCATGTATAAAACCTTTCTTTGTCATTCTCACATTTCTCCAAAGTGCACAGAGGCGTAGTTGAGGGAATCCTCCGGTGTGTTCACACCTTTCTCTGTGATTCCGTTTAGTGCAGGAGGACCCTGAGCAGAGACACACAGAGGTGGAATATATTGTATCCTAAAAAAATTGCTTGGTCTGTTTTGTGGGTGCAATTTTTATCCACAGCCTTTAATGTTTTGCTGGCTCTTTAAAAAAAATGTTCTACTCTGAGGCTGTTTGTGTGTAACTTGTGTGGAACCACAAGTTACACAGATCTATCAATCTAAAAAACGTGAAGAAAGATCTTGTACTCGGACTTAAAAGAAGCTCCTCCAGGAACGACAAAGGACGTGATGACAAGTCCGTACTTCCTATTTATAAAGTACGATATCCTGTAACTTTTTGAAATTGTGATTCCTTTTTTCAGTACTTTAATGTGTTGCTGTCGTGAAGCTTTGACAGCTTGACTCACGGGTTGTCCCGAGGGCTCGTTCACCGTGCAGTAAATGCTGTGGATGTTGGCTGCAGGTCTGCAGAACAACAAAGGCCAACATGAATGAAAAGGTGCAGTGACAAATGACAGGGACGACGGTTAAGCTGCCAGTCGTGTCTGAAGGCTCTTAAATGGATGCTCTGTCAGTGTGTGTGAGGCTGCTTACGTGCTGTCTGGATGACACTTGCATCATGGGGCCTTTCGACGGTCCGGCCAGAGGTCATCCTCTGCACCGCGGCCGTTCGTCCGATTCCTCTCGCTGCTGTTCCACCAGCGCTGAATGGAGAAAAAAAAGAGGGAGGTCACTTCTATTGTTCTACGTTCTGTTACATAACAGAGTGGAAAAACACAAATGAGTCATCACCAGAAAACCGAAAGTGTTTGTAGCTGCTTGTTCACTTGATCGCTTCCTCTTTTGTCTAAAAACACAAAGGGACAAGAGTGAATGTTTGCACCAAATTACACATGACAAATCATCCACTGCATGTAATTGTGTTCGTACTCCACCTATAGACAACGACAATCAAGAAAATGGTTAGTGGAAAGACTATAAACAGGATGATCAACACGGTCTTCAAGACGTTTCCTGTGGTTAAAAGAGACAGAACATTAGAAAGGTGTGAAAAGAAGCACAGTTTCAAACGGCCGTGATTTAATCATTGGAGGAAACAACACACTTCCTTGAGATTCACTCACGCTCAAACAGATGGACGGGGCTGGACGCTTTCTGATGTATGTCGTTCGTTGCGACGCAGTAGTAGGATCCCGGTTGGTCTGAATGCACCGTGTAGTTCTGACGGTCGGACACCTTTTCATTCGCTGCCTCGTGGTTCTTGTACCACGAGTACTGCGTGATCGGCGGGTAGCTGTGGCTGCTGCAGCTCAGCGTCACAGAACTCGTGCCGTCGGCCCCCCAATGCTCCGTCTCTGTGATCTTTGTCAGCTTCGGGGCATCTGAGGATCAATATGTTCTTGTTTTTATAGAACATAACAAGCTTCTGTGTGTGAAATGTGAAAATTGTGGGAGTTTCACATGAAGACACTTGAAGGGCCCACACCCTTTGACATTAGCCACAACGACAGCAGCACACTCACACTTGACTCTAAGCTCGGTTTGCGGTGAGTTTCCGGTTCCCACGTCGTTGCTCGCTTCACAGCTGTACAGTCCGCTGTCGGAAGGGCCGACTGACTTCAGGGAGAAGGTCTGCGTCTTCCCGAGGATCTCGGTCTCGCCATCGCTCATCTTCCTCCATGTGACGGAGGTCACCGGTGGGTCGGACCGGGCGCTGCACTCCAGAGTCAACGGCTCCTTCTCCTCCACGACGAGGGAAGGCCGAGCTGTTACGCTCATCTGCATTCACCAGAATTAAGAGGAAGTGAGAGAAGTAGTTGTAATCATTACTACACGCGCACATGATGCTCATAGATGATATAGTTAACCGCTATCAGTAGTCCTTCCATAATACACATACTTCCACTGCTGGGAAATAAGATTCATTCCCAAATGCAATGAATAAAATACTTCATATACTGTTGCAGTTTATCTATAACGGCATGTTTTCTCATTCAATCATTTTTGTATGAAAACTTGTGTACTCAAAGTATCTAAAGTGCTTCGTACGAGCTGGCACTTAATGGACAGAAAAGAAAATAAAGATCTACATTTTACATTCTAAATCGTTTCCTTTGGAACAAGTTTCTTTTGCTCACATTTCACCTCCAGCTTCTTCCGTTCGCTGGTCATTGAGCCTTCGGTGTTGGTGGCGTCGCAGGTGTAGAAGCCAGCGTGGGTGGAAGTGACGTGAAACGTGTGGTAGAGATTGTTGGGCCGCCGGTCACTACCAGGATGAGTGAAAAGCACCTTTGAAGACGGAGGATTTGACTCTGAGGTCAGTGTCAAGGTGAGCTTTGAGGGCGGGGAGCTTTCAACGCTGCAGCTGATGGAGACCAGCTGACCTTCCCTGACCTCGGTCTTCATGGATAGCGATGGACTGCTGGGAGCATCTGCAGAGAGAAAACATCTATGTTCTTCAGAAGGTTTCATTCATTGTTTAACATCATAGTACGTTAGCATCTCTGAAGTTCACCAATCAACGAGGGGGATATTTTTTAATGTATTTAGCATACAAACTCATTCGTGACATTTTGCTACTTTAACAGGGGTAAATGCCTGATTATGGTCTTCCCTTGTTGCCTGACAACTGCTCGCCATAAGAAGTGTTTTTGTTGTTAAATCATAAAAGTTTTGCAATGTCTGAGCTTTAGAAGTGCTGGGAGGTGGAATCAGTGCGTTAGCCACGTTGTCATTCCCACGCTCAGCTAACTGCTGAAGTTTTTTAATCATTTTATATTTCAATATTCATTGTACAGGCACGCGAGTTTACTGCAAGTATTCATTTCCTTCAGAAAAATAACAATTTACTGTTAAAATATACATTTAAAAGATAGACAATGAATTGAAGTGATAACTTTTGGCCGATTGATCGAGTCCTTTGGACGTAAACGCTGATTTTCTAATGATCACACTTGACGTAAAAATGAAAAATAATAATAACAGAAACTAATCAGAGTGACATAATTACTTACAGAGCACTTTTATGCACACTGGCTCGCTTTGCTTCCCTGTATTGATGAAGTTGGTTGCTTTGCACGTGTAACTGTAAGGATGATAAGAATGATGTATTATTGTTGCATTGAATGGGTTAATATAAGGTAAAATATACTTAAAATGTTCATAAAAAGGTAAAAGTTAAAAGGCACTAATGGTCTGTAGATCAGTGATTCATTGTTCGGTGGTTTAAGTTTAGGTATCAGTGCAATCAGATTGATTGCTAATGCCTCATTCAGGGACGATCTGTGAGCGATTGCTAATGCCTCGTTTTGCCTATGAACGGAGCGTGTGGCTAGGGTCGTTCATTACAACTATGGCCGACACTGAGCTGCATCGTGTCCGTGTCGTTTGTCATATTTCCTCTTTTACAGGTAAGAACGAGTGTTGTATTAGGGTTGATCAATGTATATATGTGTTTCAATACTGTAAGAAACATGCGGGAGTAGATGTTAATGATGGTAATCATCTAGCAGCTAAACGTGAAGAAATGTTCATCTAGCGTAGCGTGCATGCTAGCTGTGTAGCACGTGGCGTAGCCCGTGGGCTGGGCTCAAAGCGGGACGTAATAGAACACCGCAAGTGCCGGTTTCTCTGTGTGTATTTGTTTTATATTATAAGGATAAGGTAAAAGTGTTAGTATCGCATAAGCTAAAGAGAGAGTGTTTAATGTGAAAAGGAAAGAGTCTTGTATTTTTTTTAAGGTTATTTTCCCATGTTGTTTTACGATGTTGTAAACATATTTGATATTTTGGTAACTCACTTTAACGACTGGTTCAGGTCATTTGAGTAATATGGAGCCATAACTGATCGAATTGTATTTGTCTTAATTGTATAAGCTCTTATAAAGACATTACCGCAAAGGGAAAATAACATGTTTAAGTGCGATACTGAGTGTATAAATGTGTTATTATGCTTTTCATGTTCATTACAACTATGGCCGACACTGAGCTGCATCGTGTCCGTGTCGTTTGTCATATTTCCTCTTTTACAGGGGCGTAACATTTGGAGGCACCGCTGGGATAGTGTGCAGCGTGGTTTAGCGTCTTCAACAGATGTCCCCCGCCGTCACACATCCCCTTTAAACAACCCGGAACATCAGAAGCAGGTGGCGAATCAGCGATAGTGGGAGTCCGATTGTCTGGGGCAGCTTGCATGTGATCTGAGGTATTTCTGCATACCAGGAGAGCTGCTATTACTACCCGAAGATTAAAAGGTACCACTTCACTGCTAGCACCTACATCTGGCTGGGAAGATGGAGTCGACCGGATTAGAGGAGTTACAGCTTGAAGTAATAAGGGCATTGTGTCTGTTGCCCCGAGAGAGTTTGGTGGAGCTGTGTGACTATCTAATCATTGCCGGAGCAGAGTTTGAGCATGTTACCAACAAGGGCCGAACTGCTCTCATCACACTAATTTCAAACCACATACAGAGAGTAGAGCTAGAAGAGCTCGAGGATGAAGGTATGGCTGGCTTACTCCATCTTCAAGACAAAATTTCTGAGCTCCAGATAGCTGGTAAAGCTGGCCCATCAAAACCAGTAGGTGAGCAACAGGATGGAGAGGAGAAAAGAATATTGGAGGAAATTGAGGCCTTGCAGCTTCAGTTAGCAAGCACACAGAAACAGAGTGAGGAAAACAAGCCAGAAATGAGAGGAATTAAAAGCATTACCCCCACCAGACAATCACCACAGAGTGTAGTCCACAGTCCTGCACCTCACCCATGGCAAAAGGATTTTAAGATTGCTGGCCAAATCGGTGAGCCCGGTCAGAGAGACAAGCTGACTTTTTCGAGCCTAGCACGTCAAATTGAACATGGCTTAAGCAAGGGGTTTCTGGAACTCGAGATAGCAGATGCAGTGATAAGAGCGATATCTCCAGGCATGCAACTCCGCAGCTATTTAGAGGGCAAAACCAACCTAACCTTACCCATGCTGAGGCGAATACTCCGAAGTCATTATCAAGAGAAAAGTGCAACCGACCTTTATAAGCAGCTGACCTCAGAGGTGCAGGGCATCAAAGAAACCCCACAGAACTTCCTAATTCGCACTTTCGACCTGAGACAAAAAATTTTGTTCGCTTCGCAGGAATCTGAGTCAGGTCTCCAATATGACCCTGGGTTAGTGCAGAAGATGTTTCTTCACACTGTGCTAACTGGCCTGCAGAATGACAACATCAGGCGGGATCTTCAGCCTTACTTGGAGCAAACTGACATCGCTGATGAACTGTTGCTTGAGCGAGTGAATACAGCATGTGCTTATGAGACCGAGAGGCAGAACAAGAAAAAATTATCAGGACAACAAAGACCTGTTACCATCCATTCAGTGCAGTCCAGCGAAGCTTCTGCTGAAAAGAATGAAAATATACCAACTCAACAAAAGTCTAAAGTTTCCCCATCTGTTCTTTCCCAGCTTGAGGAAATTAAATCTGAGATGGCTCTGTTGAAAGATCTTAGAGCTGAAGTGTCTCACATTAGGGAGTCCATACAACCACCGCCAGCAGGGGGGGCCGATGGCGCATTAGGACTGCAATTCTCAGGTCAGCAGATGCAGGATCCGCCACAGGGCTACTGGTTTTCTGCGGGCTCCAGACACAGAGGAGGAACTGCTCAGTATCAGCAAAGGTTTGCCCCACAGCCCAACTTCCCCGCATCACGTCGTGATCAAAGGAGAAAATGTTTTAGTTGCCAACAGAGTGGCGCTGAAGATTATTGCACGCACTGTTATAGGTGTGGCAGCAGCGAGCACTTTCTGGCTGGTTGTCGAGCAAGGGGACAGAGACAGTTCGGAGGTGAGGCTTTAAACGGGGGAAGGTCACTCGCACGGGACAGGGAGTGACTAGTAATGTAGCAATGTCCCAGCAATGTGCATCCTGTAAGAAAGTGTTTTGCGAGTCTACGCCATGTCAAGTTGATAATTTGGCAGCACACAAAAGAGAATGTCAAGCACTCCCATGTATGACTACAAACACCGCTCCAAAGAAGGACAAAAGGGCAAAAAGGGCGCCATTGGTAGGAGGAAAACACATTGTTGATTGCTTCATCCAAGGCCAAAGTGTTCAGGCTCTGTGGGACTCAGGCTCCCAAGTGACCATAATTGATGAGAGATGGAAAGAAACACACCTGCCAAATGCAAGACTAAGAGGCATAACCGAAATTCTAGATACAACACAGACTTTTGACATACAGGCAGCAAATGGGGAGAGTATGCCATACACTGGTTGGGTCGAGGTAACTTTTAGATTAGCTTCAGGAGCTGCATCCAACACAGAAGTTATTGTCCCCACACTTGTAATGAAGGGTGGTAAGCTTGTCCAACCTATCATTGGGTCTAATGTGATTAGGATTATTATAGACAGTGAGCTGAAACAGTCAAACACCACTGACAGGGAAGGGTTAAGTAGAACAGTAAGGGCAGCCTTTCCAGGACAAGCAGCAGCCTTTGTGGAGCAGGTAACTGCTGCGGTAGAACAAGTCAGCACCACACTAGGGGATGAGTATATCGTCAGGACAAAAAGGGGGAGGATTAACATACCAAAACGCACATCAGTCAGAGTTGAGTGTCATGTAAACATGGATTCTCCACATGAAGACAACATATTTCTCTTCGAGCCAGATGTGAACCCCCGCTGGGCAGAGGGACTTGAACTATGTGACATGCTGGTGAAAGTAGATAAGGACAGAAAAAAACCCTCTATTAGTGTAAGTGTGCAGAATATTACAGACCATGACATGATGTTACCAGGGAAAACTGTAGTCGGGACTGTCCAGCAGGTCCAAACAGTCTACCCCGCCTCCATACTAGAGGGGTCACGCCCTCCGCCTTCAGCTACAACAAATCACATCAGCGCTGAAAAGGATCTGACTACAGGCAATGTTTGGGATCCACCTGTGGATTTGGGCCACCTCAGTGAGCCAGAACGTGAGATAGTTAGCAAGATGTTACGAGAGGAGTGTGCCTCCTTTTCAAGAACAGAGGATGATATCGGTTGTATCGAAAAACTTCAACTCAGCATTTCCCTGAAAGACACGGAGCCTGTCGCAAAAGCATACCTCTCGGTGCCTAAGCCACTTTATCGGGAAATGAAAGACTACTTGAATGATCTCATCGCTCAGGGTTGGGTGGAGAAGTCTAATTCACCGTATGCATCACCAGTCGTGTGCGTTCGAAAGAAGGATGGGAGTCTCCGACTGTGCATAGACTTTCGCGAAGTGAACAGAAAGACCCTCCCTGACCGCCAGCCTATCCCCAGAGTGCAAGACATAATGGATGGCCTCGGAGGAAACTGTTGGTTCTCTCTGTTAGATCAAGGGAAAGCGTACCATCAGGGCTTTATGACGAAGGAGAGCAGACCCATAACCGCTTTTGTCACACCATGGGGTCTTTATGAGTGGATCAGAATTC